CTTTGAACAAAGACCTGTTTAAAAATTACCAAGTTTGTTAGAATGGTACATAGATGAATTTACTTTTATTATCATGGGGTTTTCTATAAATGTCTCATTTTGTGATTTTTTTAGAAACTGATCTTGAATAAAATGTGGAACAGATAATTTATATTTCCATACTTTTGTCTAACCCCCAAAGCTTTTATTATATATCCTGTGGAAATAAATTGAAACTTCTTATCAGCAACAATTTTACAGTGTATTTCTGTGCATGGCACTCGGGTTCTCTTACTAAGTTGTTTTTAGAGTTGAGAACAGATGTTGGCATTGGAAGAAACATAAAACATAGATAGCCAAAGAAAACAATCCACTGTCCCAAATTCAGTAGTGGAGGTGAATGTTACAGATGGAAATTTTCTCATGCTTATTGTGGCCAAAACTGGTTTTAAACTTGTTTTTATCATTTCAAATATGAGCAGTAGTATGTCTTTTCAACTGAATGTTAATGAGTTATGCTTTGATATAGCTATTATAATGTTGCTTTATGGAGGCTAGACCCACGTTGAGTTGCTGGGGAGAATTGGAATTTGAGTATTTTAAAATAGGCATTCTCCCACTTAAACTATTATAGCATATGCTCAGTTGACAGATTATATGTAGAGAACCAGCCTAGCCAGTTAAGAAAGATTTATCATCTGGATGGTAACATGCCATAACCATAGGCAGTCTTCAGAAACACAGCTGTCAAACTCAAGGCCCAACCAAATTAAAATGTAATTGAGAAATGTTTAACAAAATAGATAAAAATACAATACAACATAAATAATGTTAATTTGTGGTTTTCCAAGTCATTATGTAGCTTCAGAAATATCTTTTTATTTGAGTTTGACCACTACTTAAAACCAACTACCAAGACATAGAGGCTTTGACATCAGCGTCAGTAGAGGGATGATGTAATTATAAAACGTTTAAGCATTGAAAAGTTATATCACAATAGAGTGTTTAAAGTTTTAACATTTTAAAAATTGATAGTAAATAATGGTTTAGGAAAACAGATTTTCTTCTTCATAGAAATTGATTTTTTGAAACTTCTATGTGATATATTAAAAATTAATTTATCTCCAATAGATAAGTAGTCAAAGGATATAAACAAATAATTCTTAAAAGAAGAATTGCATGGTATTCACAACCACATGACAGAATGCTCCAAATCGCTAATAATTAAAGAAATGCAAATCATAAGTATGAAGTTATTTCATCACCTACCCTGCAAATTGGCAAAAATGACCAAAAAATGGCAATAGTCAGTGTTGGTAGGATTGTGTGTTGATAGGCTCACTAATACATTGTTGATGGAGCTTTTAATTAGTACAGTCATTTTGGAAAGCAATTTGGAACTGGGCAAATAAGTCATTAAAATGTTCATACCCCTTGACTCAAGGTCTCCATTACTGGACTCCTATCCCAAGAAAGCCATTGATAAGAAGAAAGTCTCCATGATAGCAAAAAAACAACTGGAAGCAAAACAAATGCCCACTGACCGAGGAATGGCTAAAAAAATTGTGATATAGGAACGTAATGGATTATTACGAGTAGCTAGGTGGTGCAGTAGATAGAATGTTCAGCTTCAAGTCAGAAAGACAACTTCTGAGTTCAAATCTGGCCTCAGACACTTATTAGCTATGTGACCCTGGGCAGGTCACTTAACACTGTTTGTCTTAGTTGCCTCATCTGGAATGAGCTGAAGAAGGAAATGGCAGACACTACATGAGATCTACATGAAGTGATGCACAGTGAAGTAAACAGAGCTAAGAAAACAGTCAGTGACTACAACAGTATAAATGGAAAGAACAACTATACCAAAAAAACAAAAGTGAATGTAGCAAGATGATAAAAATCAAGCATAACTCAAAAGAAGGGAGGTGAGATGATTCCCCCAACCCACCTGTTCATGGAAGCAGGAGGTCTACAAGTATTGTTCATTGTACATTTCAAACTTTTTTAATGTATTGAATGGTTGTGCCAATTTTTTTCTCTTTTTCCATTATATGGAATAGCTCCCTGGGGGAAGGGTAAGAGGGAGGAATACTGGAGAAAACTATGAGTATGTAAAAAACTAAAGACATTAATAAAAACATTAAAAGAAGACATTTTAAAAAACTGTACTAGTTTAAATCAGTTGAAACATCCCCTCATATTTGAGATGTGTCTCATACCTTTCCCTATTTTGATTGGCTAAAACTGAATTTATTTTTCTTATACATGAATAAGTTACATTAAACTACCATATGTTGATGTTGAGAGGATAGAACTGATAATGTTATAATCTGTTATGTATTTAGTTATAAGATCCTAAGACAAATGCTAGAAGGATTTTTTTCTTTTTTGGAGGCAATTGGGGTTAAGTGACTTGCCCAGGGTCAAATAGCTAGTAAATGTCTGAGGCCAGATCTGAACTTGCAGGTCCATCTGACTCCAAGGCTGGTGCTTTATTCACTGCACCACCTAGCTACCCCATAGAAGGGCTGTTAGGTGTCATATAGTCCTTTTGTCCACACATGTGAAAACCAAGACACAGCTATCTTAAGTAACTTCTGCAGCATCACACACACAGTAAAAATAACCATTGGGATTTGAACTTTGATTCTCTGAAAACAAAGCTTCCATAATGTGTCATGTTTATTTGTGGGACACGTTACATTCCAAAGGACAAATAAGCTGTGTTATATGAGTTTTATTTTACTTCTGATATATTTTTCTGATACTTTTGCTGTTAAAAATTTCACTTAACAAAATAAATGACTTGAATATACACATTACAGAATGTTAATAGAATGTTAATTAGTTCTTTTTTTTTCTGAACAAAACAACATTTTTTTAATCCGTAATATGACCTTTATGTTTAGGTTGCTAATTTATTTGGAGCTTTTTGTGGTTATTGTAGAAGCTGATAGTCCAAACCAGTTTTCTGCCATACTGCTTTTCATTTTGGTAAAAGAAGTAGCCTTTCCCCTGGTAGTTTGTAATCTTGGATCTATTGAACATTGGTCTGTTTACTTTTTAATTTTGCAGATCTAATCTAATCTAAACTAATTTTCCTCTTCTAATTTTCAGCAAAGTTTTGATGATTGTTTTATAATATCGTTTGATATCTGGTAGTACTCAAACTAGGCATAGTGGTTAGAGTGCTGGGCCTGTTGTCAGACCTGAGTTTAAATCTGGCCTCAGACACTTCCTAGCTGTGTGACCCCGGGTAAGTCACTTAATCCTATTTGCCTCAATTTTCTCATCTGTAAAATGAGCTGGAGAAGGAAATGGCAAATCACTCCAATATCTCTGCCAAGAAAATCCCAATGGGGTCACAAAGAGTTGGACACAAGTGAAATGACTGAACAACAAGTACTCCAGCACTGCAATGAATATTATCTCATCTATGTAGTCATTCCATGTAACAGTGCAAGTTACAACTAATCCATCCCTGTTCATGCTCTGTGACCTCTGTTAATGTCCTCCCATATGTTAAGATCCAGCACAATTGCTAGTACCTTGATCACTTTCTCTTGGCATCAGGGGAAAATTTCAGAGGCAGATTTAAGTTTGACGTCAGAAAAATCTTCCTAACAATATTTACTGTGCAAAGGTGAAATGACATGTCTTCAGGTGGTGAGGCTCCCCCTCTTGTAATCTTATTCCATAAGATTTTTGTTAATGAATTTGTATTCTAAAATTGTCTTAATCTTGGATAACTTTTCTTCATACTTAATAGGTGGAACGTTATTTCCTGAGTGAGGACTTTTTAGGTTTTTTGGGGTCTTAGTTGTGACAGTTGATATACATTTATTAAACTTCTGTATATCTTGTTTAGGTGTCAGTGTCTTTTTTGCTATCCATTCCCTGCTTTTGGGAATGAATAACTTGTTTTAGTAGGTTAGAATTGTTTTCATTGCTCTCCATATATTTTTATTCAATTTATTTCTTTTTTAGCTTTGTATTAATTTTTATTTTTGATATAGCCATTTATTTTAGCATTTAAGTATACCATGAAAATGGAGATTTTTTTTAAAAATTTCTAACTTTCTCTTATTTCTGTTACATTTTATCTCCTCAGACAGTTTGTGTAGCACTGAAATATTCACCTAGACTAAAAGAGTAAAGCTCAAAATCTAAATTATTCTCAAATTAATTCTTTGATCTGGTGTGTACACACTATCATTTCAAAGATAGCGTAGAAGTTAAGGAGATTAGCAGTTTTAGTGTTTTCCATACTTTTATTTCCTTGCTTTAATGCCAAAAGCACAGTAATTATTACATTGTGTTACGTTTACATTTCAGAAATTCTAGTTTTTATGAAGGAAACACGGTGTCCCTTCATGACATGAAAACTTAAGCATTTCTTTAGTTCTTCACAGTCTGGGAGCTCCTATGATTTCTGTGTGAATAAAGCATAACTATTTTAAAAGGAATACTGATACTCGAAAGTTTCTTCCAAACAGTACTAACCCCAGATAAGGTATGAAGAATTTGAATCCTCCCCCACTCCCCCAATCACCTTTGATTGCTTTTTATTTTTTTTTTAAAATAAGAAGAATAATCTCTTAATACTTCAGGAAAAGTAGGCCTGTTTAATTTTTTCCTTTGTATACACCCAGTGCTACCTTACTTGAACATAGTAACCACGTACTAAGTACATGTTTATTGAATGAATGATTGATTAATTGATTCAACTTCATTAGAGTCACTGCCTTAGCTGTAGAAGTAGGTAATACATTTTAATCCAGTTTAGCTTCTATATATGTATATGTCTTATAGTAAGAACTTTGCCATATTTTGGTTGTATATCTTTTTTCCACTAGAGGGTGCAGCAAGAACTTGATTTGAATTTTATATTCTGTTTACTGGAAATAAAGAGTAGAATTATGTCATTGTGTTGAATAGTTTATGGCTGTGTGAAAGATTTGTAAAAAAGAGCATAACTATTCTAATAACTCAAACCCATTTTTTTCATTTTTATATTGCAGGTTACTAATTTTGGGATCCTATGAAAGAGAAGCAAATATTCATTGCACACTTGAGTTGAGCAGCGGTGTTTGGGAAGAAAAACAAAGGAGTTCTATTAAGACGGTAAAGTGCCTTTATTTAGACCTACTTTTAATGTCAAATGTTGCTATGGATCACTAAAATAAATTGATCAGAAACTCAGTCTTCAAGTTAGTTACTTTTTCCTATGTGCCCTTAATTTTGTTAGTAATATCAAACATATTTAGACTATGTATGTGGATAAATGTGCATAGAAGCAGAGAGATGGTTTGGAGGATTAAAGCACAGGGTATGGAATCAGGAAGACCAGACCTCAAATCTGCCCTCAGATAGTTACTAGAGGTGTGACCTTGGGCAAGTCACTTAACATCTTTCAACCTTAGCTTCCTCATCTGTAAAATGGGGATAATAATAGCACCTACTTGACAGGATTGTTATGCGGATCAAAGGAGATAATATGTATTAGGTGCTTTTTATATATGTATATATGTGTATGTCAATGCTTTATTATATCGTAGGGTGTTTATAATGAACCACATGAATCCATATTATTTGTTTTGCTTATATGAGAAGCATCATCTTATATTCCTTCTCAAAGTGTAAAGTGTAGTGATGCTATTTTTAAATTGAGAAATTGGACGAGAAAAGCTGTTCATCCAGGATCCTCAAAACAGTTGCTGGCCCACAAATGCAGCCTGCCATCCATTCCTTAGTTGCTTATGTAGCAAATAGCACCATGTTTTATTGTCTTACAGTGTAAGAATTTCAAACCATGTAAAAACAAAAGAAACTTCTAAGCCTTATGTTTTTATGAACATATTTTTAAGTTAGCCAATTCTCAAAGTAATCGAGTATTAATTACCTTGTTTTAGTAGGCTAATTGCTATTATTCTGAACTGTTTAACATATCTATATATTATGTATAATGCCTATGTGTTTCTTGATATTTCATAGTAGCACATTAAAACTGAAGCATAGTATTATTTATTAGACTATATATTGTTGATAGAATTATGTGGTTTCATTTTTTGTGGCTAATTTTAATTTTATTTCTCAATTACATGTAAACAAAAATTTTTAACATTCATTTAAAAAAATTAATTTCCAAATTCTCTCTCTTCCTCCTTCTCCTCCTCCTTGTAGTTTCCTTTCTAAAAATTCTTCAGGGTTTTATATTGGAAATAGAAGAAATTGCTTTGAAATAGAGGAGGTACTTATAATGTAAGCAAGAAATTCATGTTAAGACTAATTTAGTTCTCATATCATGTGATGATTTGGGTGTGTAAATTGAGTATGGATTCTGTATAGAAACTTCAAAACATCTTAAATTGTATGTTTTATCACTGTACAAGTGAAAAGAATGCTTAGCATCTTAAATGACTTTGAGGGCTTTAAAAAAAAAGACTGTCTTTGAAAAGCATTTCTTTTTACTAATCTTATACAACTGTGGGCTTATGGTCTCTCTTCTAATGTTTATAATGAAACTCCAATGTGATTCATATTTTTAACAGTTGGTGGCAGTATCACCAAGCTCATGATTATATCTTAAAAATAGAAAATATCATTTGCAAATAGAGGAAAAGTAGTCATCATCATCAAACAGTATTGTCTCATTCAGAGATATTTTAAACTAGGAATTGAAAAGGAGTTCCTTTAGTGGAACCGCAGTGAGAGGGCTTATGAGATGCTATGTGGTTGGGAAGATGGTCTTGCCATCTTTCACCTGAAACATAACAACACATAAGCCCATCATAACCCACAGTGAATTCTTGGTTTCCATGAAGACAAAATGGCATTTAATTTTCATTTTGAATTTAAATTACTCCTTAAAAAACAACTTCCCCAATGAATAGTTTCTTGACTTTCTTCAACAGTGATTTCATCTTCTAAAAGGTGGAGGAACCAACAAAGGGAAATTCATTTCTAGATCTGATTCTTGCCAATAGGGAGGAAATAGTTCCTGAGATGAAAATAACCCATTGCCAATGAGAGCAGGGTTCCAGAACTACTAGCCCTTCTCCCCTATCTAATTCCTCTGTGTCACTTCTTGCATCTCATTTGTATAAGATAATTACTCCTTTTACTTTTCCTAGACAGTATTACTTTTTAGAATCGCATCATACTCAGCTCTACCCAAATCATTCTTTCAAACTACCCAATTACTAATTAGAGTCTTGGACATACAGTTTACATTTCTCATGTAAAAAGTGAAGTTTATCCCTCTGTACTATTTTTGTTTTCAGTGACTTGGGATTAATAACAACAATGATGATGATAATGATAGATAGCATTTATATAGCACCTACTGTATGCCAAGCACAGTCCTTAATGCATTACAAATATCTTATTTGATCCTCATAACAACCCTGGGAAGTAGGTGCTATTATGATCCCCATTTTATAGTTGAGAAAACTGAAGCAAGCAGAGGTTAAATGACTTGTCCAGGTTCACACAGCTAATCAGTGTCTGATTTGAATTTGAACTTAGGTTTTGCTGACTCTAGGCTCAGTGCTCTATCCACTGCACCACCTAGCTGTCTTATATAAAAGTAATAAAGCATAGTTGACACATTTATCCAGTTTGCAAATGACACAGAGTTGGGAGAGAAAGCTAACACACTGGATGGTAGTTTTAAAAAAAAGATCTTGACAAGCTAGAATGCTGGACCAAATCTAATGAGAAGAAATTTAATAGAGATAAATGTAAAACCTTAGGCAGATTTTCAAAATCAGCTTTTCAAATAGAAGATAAAGGAGGCATGCTGAGATGACAAAATAACAGTATGTCTGAAATAAAATCTCAAGGCTCTCTGGGACTGCAAACTCACCATGAATTAGTAGAGTGACATGGCAGCCAAGAAAGCTAATGCAGTCTTAGACATACCTTCTAAGGAAGAAGGAGGTGATAATCCCCAGCATTCTGTTCTGGAGTACAGTATTCATTCTGGATACCATAATTTAGGAAACATAGATACTGGTAAACTGGAGAGAATTCAGAGGAAGACAATAATAGTGTTGAAGAGCTTTGAACATGTGCTATCTGAAGACTGGCTTGTTGAACTAGAGATATTTAGCTTGGAAAAGAGGAAGCTTGGGAGGAACTTTTAAAATTATCTTTTTTTTAATCACCAAGATTTCTCTCAGTATTCTTCTCCCTCCCCCTCCCAGAGAACCATCCTGTATAACAAATAATATTTTAAAAAGAAAAAAAAGACAAAAAAATCAGCAAAACTCATCAGTACATCAGACCAGTCGTATCAAATCATTGCATACAGTATGTGCAGTGAGCAACATTTGTGAACCTCTGACTATTGGTAGAGGATAGGTTAAAGATGTCTAATTTTTTCTTTAAAGCTATACTTGTTCTTGATCCTTTTGCAACATTCATTTGATCTTTTTTTTGTAATTCTTTCTGTTTACATTGTTGTAGTCATTCTATATACTGTTTTCTTGACTCTGCTTTCTTCACTTTATCAGATCATATAAATCCATTCTTCATATTCCTCAAAACAGAAATTTCTTACAGTACAGTAATATTCCATTACATTTATGCACCATGACTTGTTTAATCATTTCCCAGTCAATGGACATCTACTTTGTTTCCAATTCTTAGCTACTACAAAAATGTTATAAGAAATATTTATCGTAAATTTAAAATTTTAGTAATAAGTAGCTGTTATATCTGTGATAAATGTAAACTCATCTCATTATTGATTCTACCATGTGTGTGTATGCATAAGTACACACACGTTTTAGTATACCAATGGAATGTGTGTGTGTATGTTTATGTATATACACACAAACATTGCTTGCCCCCCCCATTTTCCCCTTCACTGTAAAAGCTCTTCCCTGCATGCATCTTATGTGAGAAAATTTTCCCCATTCTACCTTTCCCTTCCCCCTTCTCCCAGTGCATCCCTCTTTCTAACCTGTCCTTTTTTTTTTTTTTTGAATCATCCCAACATAATCAATTCACATTCACCACCTCTGTCTAGATGTCTTCTAACTGTCCTAATGATGATAAAGATCTTAGGAGTTACATGTATCCTTTTCCCATATAGGAATGTAAACAGTTTCACCTTATTGAGTCCCTTATAATTTCTCTTTCTGTCTCATTACTTTTTTTTATGCTTCTCTTGAGTCTTCTATTTGAATGTCATATTTTCTATTCAGCTCTAGTCTTTTTATCAGGAATTCTTAAAAGACCTCTGATCAAGTGTGTGAGTGTGTGTGTGTGTGTGTGTGTGTGTGTGTGTTTTCAGTGTTTTCTCCTGAACCTGGGAGTTCTGGAATTTGGCTATAATATTCCTTGGAGTTTTCCTTTTGGGATATCTTTCAAGAGGTGATTAGTGCATTCTTTTCAATTCCGTTTTACCCTCTGGATCTAAGATATCCTTTGTAATTTCATGACATTTCATGTGTAGGCTCTGTTTTTGAACGTGGCTTCCAAGTAGTTCATAAATTCTTAAATTATCTCTTCTTGATCTGTTTTCTAGGCCATTTGTTTTCTGATGAGATATTTCACATTTTCTTCTATTTTTTCATTTTTTTGACTTTGATTGTTTCTTGATGTCTCCTAGAGTCATTAGCATCTACTTGCACAATTCTAATTTTTGAGAAATTATATTTTTCCCAGTGGGCTTTTGTACCTCTTTTTCCATTTGGCCTATTCTCTTTTTTAGGGAGTTCTTTTCTGAAGTGAATTTTTGAACCTCTTTTTCCATTTGGCCATTTCTGCTTTTAAAAGGAATTCTTTTATTCAGTGAATTTTTGTGCCTTTTTTTAACCCGAAGGCCACTTCTGTTTTTTTTTAAAGTGTTACTTTCTTCAGTATTTTTTGTACTTCTTTTTTCAAGTTGTTAATTCTCTTTTCATAACTTTCTTGCCTCACTCTCATTTCTTTTCCCATTTTTCTCTACCACTGTTACCTCTTTAACTCTTCCAGGAATTCTTCTTGGGGTTCAGTTGACATCATTTTCTTTAAGGCTTTGCTTGTAGCTGTTTTCACATTGTTTTCTTTTGCATTTGTGTCTTGGTCTTCGCTGTCACCATAATAGCTTTATATTATAGTCTAGTTTTTTTTTT